CTCTTGTGGCTTAACCTAAGTGAAGCATTCAGCAAAGAATTCAACTCCTGCCTTAAATACTAATTCAGTGGGGGAAGGTGTTCTACCCAATCCAATTGAGTCATGTCACCTCTCAGCTCTCCTGATTGCTCAAAAAAAGGGATGAACTTTGATATGAATATATTTATATTCAAGAACCACCAAAATATTGACCAAAACCAGCTCTGAGTCATTTTCATTTGTCAAAACCTAAGAAATGCTACCTTTATTTGTACATTTTTTGCTATGTAGTAACTAAACAGAGAAACTGTAGCTTACAAAAGTTTCTAATTCTGACTGCAACTTTCAAAGCAAGATGTGGGATGCAGTTTTCCTTTTGCACTTACTGACAGAGAACTTCCATTTTTACCTTTGCATCTATTTCTTCAGCTTTTTCATTGGCTTCCTGCTCGATGAAAGCCATCATGTGCTTGATCTGTAATAAGAGAGAGGAAAGAAAATGTTTTCTGTAGGAAAGGACACTGACCAGAGGAAGCAGGTGTCTCTATATACTCATCTGTAGATCCTCCATATCCACTTACTCTTTCATGTAATATTGTTTTGGAAATTGCAAGGAAATTTCATTGAGCAATTTCATTGCAAGGAAATTTCATTGAGCATACACAAGCGTCAATTAATCTTGACATATATTACAAGAAAACTATTTTCCCCAATAATTCTATATAATGCTGTTTCACTAGCTGCCATTAGAAGAATTCATTTCAGGTTTGCAACCATAAAAAATCCCAAAGCAAACCAACCAACTCCAAAGTAAATTTGTATAAATGCGAGGCTGGGTATTTTCATTCTTCATGAATGAGCCCAACTTTTTCACCCCTGGGATTATTAAATAAACTTCCCAGACTAAAAATCCTCACACAGCAAAACCAGTCTGTTTGTTATGACATTTACATGAAACATAAAGATTATACAGATGGCATCTGAATGAACCTGGGCCTTCCACAGCTGCACAGAGAAGCAAAGCAAAGTGCCACTGACCACTCTGGTCAGAGCTGTACAGCCACAAGTTCCTTTGAACACCAGAGACACTCCTCTTGGGAAGCTGCAATAAATTCTGTAAAAACCTCTAAGGTCACTTTGGAGGGGCTGGGGAAGGAGACAGCAGCAGCAACGCTCTGTGACCCAGACCACATCAAGAATGTCACATGCTGCTTCAGAGCCCCACAGGAACCAAGAAGTTCTACTTGAAAAACATTTCTGCAGCCACCTCAAAGCACCACAAAGCCCAGGTCCAGCAGCTTGAAGAGATGGAAAGCAATCAGACCAAGCTCTGTTCACCCATCACATGCCTCTCTGTGACCAGACCTCAGCTCAGGTTCCCATTTGATTCCCATCCAAAGGACTCATTCCCATCCAAACTGCAACTGGGATGAGGTACAGACACTTCCATGGCCACATGGAGCAGACCCTAAAACCTGCTGACTTTTTGCTTGCACTTACTGATGAGACACATTTTGCAGAAAATCCAGTCTGAATAAACTCACACAAAAGATTCTGTTTATAGAACCTCGTGTTAAAATTAAATGTTTTAAAGAGATTAGAAAGGTGCCAAGGTGAAAAGTGAGCCAATGTGCAGCACTAAGTCCACAGAGATGAAAAAACAGAAGTGAAGAAACAAGTGGAAGATTTTAAACACATGTTAACACAGTGGAAGAAGTGAACAGCAACATCTACATCCTCAAAACCAAATCAGCAGGTTTTCTTTTAATTTGTGTCTGCAAAGACTCTCAAGTGCTTGTCTACCTACCCTGCATTTCAGAAAGGACAAGAGAGGCATTTAGAATAAGGATATTATTTTGCTGAATAGCCTATTGTTGAAGAAGACTAAGAACTTAGCAGCAGAAGCAGCCTTTATGCTACTGAGTCACTTCCTCCAGTGTAGTCTGGGTTCTGAGTTTTGGAAAAGCACTTTTAACAGTTCTGGGTGCTCAGGAAACATCCTCTGTGTAAAGAAAAGGCCTGAGATAGAGGCAAGCTAATATGGAATCCACTTCTCCTCGACTGATAAGACTGAACCGTGTTACTTCAGAAGCTGCTGTACTGAAATTCCCTTTTGCTTTTTCTAGAAATGAAGAGAGATCCAAAGCGAGACTGTCACATCTATAAATAGGATTAGTTTTAATAACAGTGACAAAAATGTATTTTGAAACGAGAGACTTATTTTAAAGCAGTATTTCCTGTAGAAAGGAAGAAGGGGTTTTCCTGTCAGGAGCAGTGTGATTATCCTTTCCAAGGGAAATTCTAGATGTTAGATGGGCTTTAGAAGTGACCAGATGGAACAATATATTAAATACCTTTGACAGAGCAACAAAGCAAGCCTGTCAGTGGGAAAAAGTCTCAACCAGAGATGATTTTCAGAGTGACAATCACTGGAAGTGTGGTGGCAAGGAGTTAGGAGGGCCAGCTGGCAAGTTCATGCCACAGTGAACCACATGCAGGACTGTCAGCCACCAGCAGTGTCCAGCTAACAGGATCATCCTGGGCTCAGGAGTCTAAAGCACTGACAGGAATGTTGCAGATGTGAAATGCTGTCAGCATTACATGTTTAATACATCACCAGAGCCTGAACTGACCTTTGAAGTTCAGCTCCATTCTGGCTGAGCAAGACCACCTTGATGTCAGCTTTATTTTTATTATCTTCATAAAAGAGGCAGGGAAAAAGAAACAAAACCCAAGCTTTGCAGATGAAAGGAATACAATGTAATGTTACAATTCTCCTTCTGGAGAAAGGCAACCTACCAATTTTACTTTCATTGTGATGCTTCCTTGCCAAGAGACTATGTTTACTGAATGAGAAAGTGAGACACAAGTACTTGTGATGCAGAGGACAAAGGGAACTTGCCTGATCAGCTCATCACCTGCAAGAAACTACCCAGACCAGTGCTGACTGGATCCCCACGGCCTTTAACACCACACACCATCTCCAACCCAGCTGAAAGCAGTTTTTTTAGCTGAGGGCAGTGTTTACTGTCAACAGGGACAGGGTGTCCTGCCTCTGGAGGAGTGTCCACAGCCAGACTTCAGGGCTGGAAGTTTCCATTGCGAGCCAGCCCCAGGCTGCACCACTCAGCTTAGGATGTAGAACTGAAAAAGGCACTGAGGAAAAGGGCTGAGCAGCCCACCCAAATGCTAAGGCACAGCTAACTGCAGGTAACAAGCAAAAAAGAGATGGGAAATCCTTAGGGAACCACAAAATCATTAAGGCTGGAAGAGCCCTTCAGGGTCACCCAGCCATCAATGCAGCACCACCACTGTAACCTTTAAACATTAAACCACTTCAGATCCAGACACCTCCAAGGATGCTGATTCCACCAGCTGCCTGGGCAGCCTATTCCAAACCCTTACCACCCTAACAGTGAAATATTTTTTTCTAATATCTGCTGTCAGTCTCCCCTGTCTCAGCTTAAGGCCGCTTTTTCTGGTTCTCCCACCGCAGGCACGGAAGAACAGACCGGCCCTTGCCTGTAAACATCTACCCCAGCAGCATGTCACAACACAGAGCTCTGCATTTACCTTGGGGAGCAATCAAACCCCGCAGACAGCACACAGCCTGCCCGGGAACCCTCTCGTTACAAGCCGGGCTAACATGTCACCAAAACGCCTCAAGGAATTCCCCATCCACCCCGCCAGGGGAAAAATCGCCTTGTCCGGGCACTCCTCTAGCCAGGATCCTTCCCCTCCACCGATCCTCCTTCCCAGGGCAGCGCCCGGCACAGCAGCACACCCGGGCCGAGCGCTGCGCTGAGGGCCCGGCGCCGTCAGCCCCGCTCCCCGCGGCCCCTCGGGGCTCCGCTCGGGCCGGGCTCGCGGCCATACCTGCTTCTGCACGTCGGCATCGCTCAGCGCCATGGCGGCGGCGGAGACAGGGACGGTGCCGGTGTCGGTGACAGGGTTCCCCACGTTTTTTCCCGGAGAGGCGGTGTCGGTGGCAGCCTCAGGCCCAGCAGACGCGGCCGGTGCCGTCGGTGGCCGCGAGCGGAATCAGATCCGGTTCGGGTCGCGGCCGAGGCGGGGGCGCCGCACGCCCCGCCCACCGCGCATCCGGACCAATAGGAACGCTAAGAAGGAGTGACGTCACACCGCCATATATGGCGGGGCTGGTATCGCGTCACTGCCACTGTCATAGAAGCACTTACAGCGAGTTAAAGCTGCAGCAGCAGCGCTGAATCGCGGGGCCGAGCGTTAATCTAGAATAGTATTGGTTTGTTCTAATCGGCAAGCGGCTTCCGCTTCCACTCTGCAGGAACGTTTGGTGGGAAAGACAAAACCATTCCTCTACAAATCACTGTCAGACGTGGTATTCGTTGTATCCGTGCTTCTTCCTGATTTATTTCCATTTCCTTATTTTTTTTCTGTGCTTTTTTGTTTTTTTATTTTCCTGTGTGGAAAGGCTTATTATAAAACCCTGTGTGTAACTTTGCTGTCTTTTTATATTGCCTTTATAATGCTGAATATCACCTTCTACTTTGGGTCTGGAGAACGCTTTACTGTTACTTCAGGCACCATCTAAATAATATTAAAAGCAAGTTTTAATAAAGAAGAAATAATAAATAATAGGAAATTATAATGATGCCTATTATTATAACATAAATATTGATAAATAAAATTACAAATACAGTGGGAATTACATCCAGGCTCTGTTTCTTTTCCGTGTGCCCCCTGCCTTGCCCTGCGGGCGTTCGGTTTGGGACTCAGACCCACCTAACCCACACCCGTAGCCACGTGCCCTGGCGGTCAGGGCGGCGGGAACTGCACTGCCAAGGGCTTCTTTTCCTCGAATCCACGAGGAAAACAGAAGAGTTTGGCACAAGCCCCCCTTCCCCACGTTTTTTCCCGGCGCCGGAGGCTCCGGGACGGCCGCGGCCCCTCCCGTCTGGCCCCGCCCCGTGGGCGGAGCCGCCGCCTGGCCCCGCCCCCACCCGGCGCGAG